GTTTTTTTTTTTAACTTTTGTCAGTTTCCTACTTGATCACAAATAGTGGCAAATCAGTAGAACTAGGAGAGCTACATCCCAGGTCTGCAGGAGAGCACCCAGCACAAAGGAGCTGGCACCTGGATTGGCTTGTGAATCCACTTCAGGGTTAGGACTTCTCTGCACCAGAGTCCTTGTGAAATGGCTAGAAGACTGACTCCTGTGTGACAGCCCTGCACGACCTGGGACAGGCCATTTCACACTTCTCCAAGAATACTCCAAACCAGATAAGCTAACAATACACATATTCTGGAGCTCTTGGAGGGCTGGATAGCTGGTTTGTCTTCCCCTTGCTTCAGATAGGACATGGTGACTGCTTTCCCATTAGGAAGATTCATGCTTCCTCCCTCTGCTATTACAAAGAAAACAAAACTGTCAAGAGACTGCACTGGATGCTTTATCAGCATTTGCAGGCTCAACACAGAGTTGCTCCAGGTGGGCATAGATGTGGAGGCTTCACCCATGTGGTGGTACTCTGCTGGACTCCAGCATCAGATCATCATTGTAGGGGGGGCACTACCTCACCAACCGTGTTCTCCCACTTCCTACAGAGAAGGTCTAGAAAGTGAAGATAACCTTGCAACCACTAGTTTCCTACAATTGCTTAATTATTTCAGTGTAACTCTCTGTAGAATGTTAGCTGTAGAGGAGCCAAAATAAATACAGCTTAAGATTTGAATCACATTCTGTTGTACTTGCTCTCATAAGCCTGAAATAGAATTTTCTAACACCTTTTGTGGTTGGATATACTGAATTTAAATAGGACTGTAGTGTGGTTTGTGGCTTCTTTGATGTAAACAAAAAGAGCAAGATGTGGATTGATGTGCCTATTTCAGTAAAATGTAGCCACGTTATTTTGGAAATACCGATACTATAATTAATAAAATGACAAGTAGGGGAAAAAACACACAAATTTGGAGAACTGCACTGTAGTGATAATAAAACAAAAAGGACCTGAAGAAAGAATAACGGGTTTTATTTTGTTGAGGATCTTTTCAGGTCTCTATAGTTTACACATTTAAGATAACATACTTTCTTACTAACTTTAATTTTGGTGTGGGAGATGGAACCCAGGGCCTCATGCATATTAGGTATGTACTCTACCATTGAGTTACACCTCAGCTCTATTATTACTAGTTTTAAAAACCATATTTGATCATTACTGATGCCAGTGGCCATGACATGGATCATTATAAATACTTTTCATTTTGCCTTTTACAAAGGCCAAAAATGAGAAATGAGAAAGATGAAATGGTCGGGGCCAAGTTCATGGGCAAGGAGTTATCATTTTCTGATTTTTGTTTTCATGATACTGGATACTGCATGCAGGCATGCTCTACCACTGAGCTACATCCCCAGACCTTTTGACACATGTTCTCACTAAGTTTCCCAGGCTGCCTCAGACTTGTGATCCTTCCTACCTCAGTGTCTCAAGTCAGTGGGATTACAGGCTTGCACCACTGTGTCCAGCTCATTTTCTGATTTGTGTAAATAAAATTCCATCTACATAATATGTAGAGTCTTTTTGAAACAAAGGCTTCCATGTACCTCAGCATTGCCTGAAAGTACCTGTCTTACATTCAATTTTGCAAACTATTAAAGAATGGAACCTTTATTATGTGGATCCAGTGAAACACCTGGTATAAATCTGGTAAAGTTTGGAACACAAAAATACCAACATCTGACAATTTCAATATATGGCAGTAAGAATTTATATTAGAAGCCTAAAATTAAGGGTTTTTCTTTCTTTCTTTCTTTCTTTTTTTCCCTTGGTGCTGGGAATTGAACCCAGGGGCGCTTAACCACTGAGCCACACCCCCAGCTCTTTTTTGTATTTTATTTGGAGACACGGTCTTGCTGAGTTGTTTAGGGCCTTGCTAATTTGCTGAGGCTGATTTTGAATTCGTGATTCTCCTGCCTCAGCCTCCCAAGCTGCTGGGATTACAGGCATATACTACCACACCCAGTTAAATTAAGGGTTTTTAATTTAAAGGAAGATCTATACTCTTTTGTAAGGCAAAAAATTTAAACAGTGGTTACCTATTACTGGGAAAAAAAAGTATCTGTAAATTAATAAAAAGAATAAAGCTGGCATAATTTTATAAACACTTCCTGGCTCAAATGATAAAACTAGATAGATTTATTAATACACCACTATATTATGCAATTACATAAAATGAGGTCTATAATTCCCTAAAACAGGCAAACTGGGCTTTTCTGCATATATGATTCTGGAAGTGGTTTAAGCATTTGGATTCTGAGATACACACCAAAACACATTACCTAAGTAAGATTTTCATATGGCACCAATTAAGAACAGAGACTTCTCTTAAGAATTTACAGGGCCAAATATGTTCTCATTTTACATCTTTGCTGATTGATCTGGAAGAAATCTATGTAGGAGAGTACTGTGACTTTTTCGTAGCTCTGCCAGTTTAATCAACAGCTCTACATCAAAGCCAGCTACACCCCCCTCTCCATCTATGAATTTGGCTTTAGAGTCAGACATGCTATTCAATATAAAGAGTGTTATCTTTAGATTCTTTTCATTATATCCTGGATAATTCAAGTCAATAGTCACCCCAGTTGAGTGGATTGGTTACTGTGGTCATCTTGTCCCATGGTTATTCAAGCAGTGCCCAACTGTTTGCAAGTGTGAAACAGTCAGAGCTAACACAGACATGATAAGGTCATCAGGAGGAAAGCAGTACTTTCCATGGTGGCATTAATTTATATTTAATAATGCGTGTTACTTTAAACAAGTTGTATTTAGGTTTAAATATTAGAGATGACAAAATAGTGAGACAGGTTCAAGTCATAAAACATGCATAAGACTGAGGAAGAAGAGGTAGATGATAAGAATGACAGAAGAAGAAACAATATAGTTCTAAAACATTTCTCTAAAAAAGCTTTCTTTGTGTTGGCTTTCCATCCATGGTTACCAAAATACCTGACACAAACCACTTGTAGAAGGAAAGATTTATTTTGGTTCATGGTTTCAGTCTATGGTTGGCTGGCTCCATTGCTCTGGGCCTGAGATGAGGCAGAACATCATGGATGAAAGGTGTGGCAGAGGAAAACCACTCAGCTCAAGGCAGCTGGGAAGCAGAGAGGAAGGGACCAAAGATATAGTCTCCAAGGGCATACCCCAAATGAACTGCTTCCTCCAACCATGCCCCTCTGCCTTCAGTTTCCATTACCTCCCAATAGTCCACTGAAGTTACTAATTCATCAAGTGGTTAATCCTCTGATGAGGTCAGGACTCTCATCATCCAATCATTTTTCAAAAGCCCCACCTCTGGACATTATTGCTTTGGGGACCAAGCCTTCAACATATGAGTTTTGGGGGACATTCCAGGTGTAAACTCTAGCACTTTTTAATAAAAAAAGTCTTTTCTTTCAGGTAGTTTTAAAGCACAGGTTATACCATTGTTCTGTAGTTCAATGAACTTCCTGATGGTAAATAATTTGGACTTTGTGGGTCATACCGTCTTTGCCACTAACAAATAGTGCTGAATTGTTCCTTGAAAACAGCCACATGACATGTAAAAAAGTGGTTGTGAATTGGGTATGGTGGTGCATGCCTATAATCCCAGAAGCTCAAGGAGGATGAGGCAGGAGCATCATGAATTTAAAGCCAGCCTCAGCAACAGTTAGGTACTAACCAACTCAGTGAGACCCTGTCTCTAAATTAAAATACAAAATAGGGCTTGGGGATGTGACTCAGTGGATGAGTGCCCCTGAGTTCAATCCCCATTCCAAAAGGAAATAAAAAAAAAAGTGGGTGTGGCTGTTCTAAGAAAACATTCATTTACAAAAACAGGTGGCAGCCTAAATTTAAAGTAAGGGCCATAGTTTGCCAATTTTTCTTCTAAACTAGCACAATCCAAGAGAAATATAATGTGAGTCATATGTAATTTAAATTTTTCTAGTAGCTACATTTATAAAATAAAAATAGGTGAAATTAACTTTTTTTAAAAAAATATTTTTCTTTAGTTGTAGATGGACACATGACTTTTTATTTATTTATTTTTATGTGGTACTGAGGATTGAACCCAGTGCCTCAAACGGCTAGGTGAGCACTCTACCACTGAGCCACAACCCCAGCCCTGAAATTTTTATTTAACCCAATATATTAAAAATTTTATTTTAACATGTAATCAATATAAAAAAACTATTTAGATATATTTCTTTTGCAACTATTGGAGCATTATAGTTATATTTCAAGTGATCAATAGTCACATTGGGTATGGGTACCAAATTGGACCATTATGTTCTAAATTTTCCAAGATAGGAATTCTACAACTAATTTACAGTTTAGTGACACAGTGTTGGGATTTGGATTTTGAAAGATAGGGGATATGATTATATTGCTCCAGGGAGTACAGGACCAGGGATTAAAGCTACTGGGACGAAATATGTGGTGTCAGTCACTTTCAAGCTGAGGTGGCCCAGGATTCTAAAGCACAAACTGATAACTAAACTAATAATGCAGTCAGATGATGTTAGCATCACTTAGCAATGCAACAAACCATCTGTCAGAAGACATGAGACATTAGACCATAGAATGATGACAAGTGAGAACTCATTGCTGTAATCTCTGGCTTTCAGTAAACAATGCCAACCATCCTAAGTATGACTAGTCTTCAGAACTTTGACCACAGCAGAATTGGAAACATAAGTGTGTGATTTGGAAGACAAAATTAAGACCTACTTAGCAAGGGGAAAAGCTCCAAACTTAGACTGAATTTTAAAAATGATTTCAGAAGCCAAATGCTTTTTCAATTATTTTTGTTTAACAGTTTAATACAAGTCAGCAATAGTTTAAAAAGTTACTAGAGGGTGATCATAAGCCTTACCTTTGGGAATCTTTTAATTATTTAAATATAGCTATCTAATCAAATCAACATTTCTAAGATAAGAACAGACATCATGTATAGTTAATAAAACTTAAAGGCAAGTGTTTTTAACAAAAAATTTATTACCAAAATACAATATTAAAGTCAATACATGACAAACTCCTGTAAAGCAAAATAAATTATTCTAACATTGTACAGTATTTCCAAAGGTAGTTAAAGAAGCGCTATAGACCTTGCTTCACTGTTCTGAACAGATAAACTGTTCTACCATGAACACAATCCTAGAGTTTCAGCTTTAAGGCATGCAGCTCAATGTGCAGGATAATTTTACAAAATGCAAATCATCCTATTTTTAATAAGATACAGTGTCAGAATTAACTGTAGTCTTTACATGTCAGTGTTCCAGAAACTTTTATACTTTGGCTATAGAAGCAATGCCATAGTGTTACACAATACTTATTTCTTAAAAAAATACATGTATTCATGTCCATGAATATCAAACTCAAATTTCTATTAAATATATTTTATAGAATATTACTTAGAGCACCTTGCTGTACAATAAAAAAAGATTAAATAAGTGTCTATGAAAACTAAAAATATAAGTCTCATAGAGAAGCCTGCTTGTCTTTGCCAAGCCAAGTACGCTACAGGAAGATACAATGTAAACATGGATGCCCACCATTTGCTTTGTGAGAAAAAAACAGAAAATCATTATAAAGCCATCAACAGCTACCCTGAAGAAGATGAAAGATCTAAATCAAAGGCTTCAGTCAGTGTCACACACACACTGTCTGGCCACAGAACTTAAGTCTACAGATCAAGAGGAATATAAGCACAGTACTGTTGGAACACTGGGGACACCAACCACACTCTGGATTATTAAAGAAAGGGAGAAAACATTAGAGCCCTGAAAAGTGTTATTTATAATGATCAGAATGCATTATCTCCCTGATTCTCACCTTTGCTGAATTTAGTTTCTTTTAAAACTATTTTCACTATCAAATCTTAGAACTGTTAAGTGTTCAGAGCAGAAAACAAACAGTATGAACTCTATATGACAAAATGTCTAGTAGCAATAAGTAATTATTCCTATAAAGGGATTCCCTATTCATTATTTTAATAACTCTTTTTTACAATTATAATTGCATATTTAATCTTCATTATTACTTTTAGAAAACTCAATTGTTCTTGGCAGAAACAGTTTTAAGCCTTGCCACAAAATAATATTGGGAAGATTTAAAATATTCTTGGTACATTTTTTTCCTCCTGTAGGCCAAGAGAAAGTTTTTATGGACAATTGAAAGCCAGAATCAGGTGAAAGTTTAAGGGGGCTGAACTTCTGGGTTAACTTTTCCCTAAGGGGTAGGGAATTAAATTCATGATTTCAAATGGAATATTTAAGTAACAATCAAAGGAAGTGGTTTAAGAAAATTAAGAAAGGCAATTTAAAAAGTCACACTTGAAATTTTGGGATTTTTTTTTTTGCGGGGGGGCGTTATTAGTATTTTCCAAAGGATTATGGAAAAGTAAAGCCAAGGAAAATTCTTCTAAGATTGTTACTTTTCTATATGGTTCAATTCTGAAATAGGAGAAAATGCATTTATTTAAATCCATGTATAGTGGATTTGGGAAATATAGTTTAGTATATATAAATTCATTTTATCTTTTCAAAAAGCATATATCAGAAATGAATTAACTTTCACAAATAAATTAAAGCTACCTAAATCAAAGAGCTGCAAAGTTACAGCCAACTGTATGTTTAACTATCATCATCAAAATGAGAAAAATAAAAACAAATTAGACAGTGTTTCAAGATGGCTGGCCCCACTTACATAGTTCCTAATGCTATCTTAAAAATATTAATTCATTTTATTTATACCTGGACTTTGGGAGCAAAATTCTTTCTGAAAACTTTGCCTATATAGTATTCCATTCATGAAACTCTTGCTTTTGGTGTTCTAAGTTTATCAGAGTCACAACCTCAACTCTAAATGTTAGAAATGGATATTCAGAATGTTCATCTGATATAGCACCGTGAAGATGGCGCACTGAATGGTGCACCTGCCTTTTGACTGGAGGCAGAATTTAACAAAAAAATAATGTATAAATAAGTGATCAGAACTACAAAAACAAAACACCCTGTTTTTTTTCACCCACTGAAACAATTATAATACAAAATATGTAATTAATGAGAAACTTATGTGTATTTGATGGCAAGTTTTACTGCGACAGCACATTTACTTAGTTTTCCACATCACACTCTAAACAGAATTTCTTAGAAAGAAACCCTATAGAATTGCCAAATTCTGTTTGCTAATTAAAATTTTTACAAACAACTTGAATTTTTACTATATTTTGGTCACATTTGGTTATTTCTCTTCTGCTAAAAATATAACTAAATAAACTTCAGAAAGGAAAATCTCAACAGCAGTACTAAGTTTAAGAGTCCTCTGAATTTTCTCCCTCAACTTCATTTTTATCTTAGTGTTCAAACTATTGCTAAGGCCTGATGTAATTTTTCCATACTCTGTTGCTGCTTTTAGAGACTCATTCAAATAACAAGGAATCCTCACTTAGCACTGAGGATCAGGAAAGCCTATTTAACTATCAAACGTATGCTGTGTTCTTCCAGACACTCTGAAAGGAACCTGTGAGAAGTGCCCTGCTGTGCTCAACTAGTCACCAGTTCTGTGAACTTGAGATTGATTTGAGTCTGGTTGGAATGAACCCATTTCTTCCTATTCCTACCAAAAACTCACTGTAAATTTAAGACAACAATTTACTTCTTAAATGTCTATTTATAATCCAGATTTGGTTTAGAGGTCTTTCTTTTGTTTTTGGGAATAAAGGAACGTATTCCACATTGAGTATATGATAAATTCTTATTGAGTATATGATAAATCCAGGGGAAGATTTAAGTGGATCATTTCAAAGCCCTCTATCTGCTTCCTTGTAGACTCTGAAAAAAACCCCTCTAGAAGCTATGTGCCATTCTCACAAGAGACCCAGCGATTCCAGAGCTCGCATGTCAAAAGTAAACACAAGAAAGTTAAGCTCTGCTAAGACTGTGACACTTTTATAACAAGTTTTAGAAGAGTTCCTGAAAAGCCCTTTCTTAACTTTTGCTTGCATGTATGTCTAAACTATAATAAGCTTTTAATAATAAATACACTCAACACTAAGAAGGGGTGACAGAGGATTAATACCGATTACATCTTTGTTCCTCCTCAACCCACTTCCCCTCACTCAAAATATTTAAATATTACTATTTATCCATTTGGAATTCATTTTATTACATCACAAGTTTGGTTCCAAAGTCACACCTGTCATTTCCTCTCACACCAACTAGTTTTTCTGCATCTAGTAGGTTAGTTATCTGACAGCACAAAGGTGAAACTGTGGTTAACTATTCCAGCTAATTTGTGTTTACAGCTGTGCTGTGGTCTTTATTTAGGATGATGTTTACAATTTCACCCTCATGCTCTTTCATATGATCCAAGAGATTTTCTTTGCTGGTTGATTCAAAACCACAAATGCAACAACAGAAGAGCAAAACGCAATACTCCATTCCAGGAGGGGCTAGACTGGAGTTCTTTTCTAAACTATATGAGGTATTATTCGTAGGGCTCAGTTTCTCATTCTCATTGGGATCTATGACTTCACTGGGTGCTTGGGAAATCAGCTCGGAGGATGACACCAAATTTTCTGAACTTCCAGTGACAGGATCGGCTCTCTCTTCACTGCTGTTTAACAGAGTTTTTCCAGAGGATTTCCCCAGAACTCTTCAAAACAAAACAAAACACACCAGACCTTGAGTGGGCTACCTATACTGTAGGACTAGTAGTTTTAATTCTAACTTTAATTCATATACAGTAATAAAGGGAGGGGGTAGAATCAAATACCTGCCACTTTGTGAAATTGCATCATTAATAGCCTTGTTTACTTGTTCATAGTTGTAATTTTGGTCACTTGCATGCTTCCACATATGAGACTTCAAAGACGGAGGATGGCTGCACACATACCCACATAGAGAACATCTGAAAGACACATAAGAGAAAAATCAGAACACTCCCATGATGTTATTTAAAATTTAGAATGATCTCTAATAATGATTATAATCCTTCTGCAGTTTTACTAGATATATCATATTTCACGGAATCTCAGATGACTAGTTCTAAGAGATATGGGATTCAGTCATAAGAATGATATTCTAGAGTCAATAAATGAAAGAGGCATTTTATAGAGAACTTACAGGAATCAAGACATCTTGGATTATTTCAGTTATTATATGATCTTGAAAATATTTCTAACAGTAACATATAAAATCTTGACTCTATATTATTTAACAACATACATAAAGAAAACAAAATTAACATTTTATACCACTATATTACTACTTTGTGTGTATGTGGGGGTGATACAGGGGATTGAACCTAGGGACACTTTACCACTGAGCTATATCCTCAGTCCTTTTTTTTTTGGTAGTGGGGGATTGAACTCTAGGGCACTTGATTACTGAGCCACATCTCCAGCCCTATTTTGTATTTTATTTAGAGACAGGGTCTCACTGAGTTACTTAGCACCTCATTTTTGCTAAGGCTGGCTCAGAACTCTCAATCCTCCTGCCTCAGCCTCCTGAGCTGCTAGGATTACAGGTGTGTGCCACAATGCCTGGCTTACCCCAGTCCTTTTAGGGGAAAAAAAAAAAAATTTTTTTTTTTTTTTAATCTTGACACAGGATCTTGCTAAGTTGACTATGCTGTCTTCAAACTTCCTCCTCAGCTTCCCAAGTTGCTAGGATTATGGGCATGTGCCACTGTACCTGGCTATACCACTCTATTTCTTAATCAAGAAAGCCAAAAGGAAACCAAATGACTTACAACATGAACTTTGCAGATCCACAGAAAATGGAAGTAGTCATGAAAAAGTTTCAACAATTTAGATTTCATAAATATAATTGTCTTAATATCTTGCATTAGTAGTGTGGTATATTTGTTAAAACTGATGAACCAATATCAACACATTTAAAAAAAATATTAGATCTAATTCACAATTTATACTAGGGTTCTCAGTTTGTACTGTATAATTCTGTTTTGACACCATGACAGTGTTATGCTAGTTCCACTGTCCTTGAAATCCCCATGTTCTACAGACATTGAGCTATCCTTCCTGCCCCTCAATTATAGGCAACCACTGATCTTTTTATTGTCTCCACAGTTCTGCCTTTTCCATAATGCCATATAATTGGAATCACAACAATACGCAATTAATGTTTTTCACATCTTTTAGTGGATTGGTAGTCCTTGTTTACTGATAATAAGAGATATTGTTTGGATGTACCATAGTTTCCTTATTCATCCACCTCCTGAAAGACATCTCAGTTGCTTCCAATTTTTTTGCAATTATGAAAACTGCTATGAACATTCATATGCAGGTTTTATGTGGATAAAAGTTTTCATCATATGGGTAAATACCTGAGGGCTTAATTGCAAGACTGTATTATAACACTGCTTATCGTTTTTTGGGGGGGCAGGGGTATTGGGGCTTAAACTCAAGGGCACTCAACCACTGAGCCACATCCCCAGCCCTATTTTGTATCTTATTTAGAGACAGGGTCTCACTGACTTGCTTAGCACCTCAATTTTTGCCGAGGCTGGCTTTGAACTTGAGATCCTCCTGCCTCAGCCTGTGCCTGGCAAAACTGTTTATCTTTTTAGGAAACCACAAATGTAGTTTTTCAGAAATATTTCTCTTAAAATATAATTAGAAAATCAAATCAGATAACTCAATTGAACTCTTCCCTAAACCAATAAGAGACACGGTCAATAAATCTAAAGGCATAAGAGTAAAATGAAACCATTAAATATGGGGAAGGAATATAATCTTATTCTAACCCACCACCTCTAATTTAACTTTATGATGGAATGCAGCAATATTTCTATATTAACATGTTCTGAGGATTGGATCCAGGGTCATCAGACTTTGACTTTACAAAATACCACTTTAGGTTTATTTTTTATTTTTTGGTAGTTGTAGATTGACAGAATGCCTTTATTTTATCTGTTCATTTTTATGTGGTGCTAAGGATTGAACCCAGTGCCTCACACATGCTAGGTAAGCGCTCTGCCACTGAGCCACAACCACAGCCCTAGGTTAATTCTTGACAGACCTTTCAGCTGGATGTGGTGGCACATGCCTATAATCCCAGCAATTTGGGAGTCTAAGCCAGAAGGATTGCAAATTTGAGGATAGTCCGGCCAACATAGTGAGACCCTGTCACAAAATTAAAAAATAAAAAGGCTGGGGATGTAGCTCAGTGGTAAGCACCCCTGGGTTCAATCTCTAAAGAAAAAAAAAAAGTAATGCAATTTCCCTATTAGTGAGGAACTGGCAAAGATGAGTAAGTCTGATAAGATTCTTCATAGATGTGGAAATGCACAATTGATCAAGAGAATGACATACCTGTAACCCCATAAATTCTTAGTTATCTACCCTAGAGACATTCTTGCACCTGTTTACAAGGATACACATACAAGAATGACTACTGTAGCAGTGAACAGAGTGGGAAAAAAGGACATAACCCATAATCAGTTCCTGCACAGGGCCACAGAAATCAATTGGTTTTTCTTCATATAATGCAAAATTAGAAAGTCGTTAAAGTCAAAAGAACGAGATTTATATTTTTCACCATGAACCAATGTCAATAATAATCAGTGAAGAGAAAAAAAAAATTTTGTGTGGTGCACAATTTAAATATATTGTTTAAAAAAAACCCAGTATGTATGTATAACCTGTAAGTTTATGTATATACATGTTTATATGCTGAACACACACACACAAAAACACATATACACACACACATACACACACAGTTATTTAAAAATGCCTGGAAATGACACATATCAACATCAGGAAAATGGGTTACCCTAGGAAAGAAGGGGTGAAGAAAAGAATAGATGAAGAAGAAAGAAAACGAGATTTTTATTTTTTGGTAGTGGGGATTGAAATTGAACCCAGGAACACTCAACCCCTGAGGCACATCAAAGCCCATTTTATATTTTATTTAGAGACAGGGTCTTGCTAAGTTGCTTAAGAGCCTCACTAAGTTGCTGAGGCTGAACTTAGCCTCCCAAAACACTGGGATTACAGGCATGTGCCACCGTGCCCAGCAAGGTCTTAGTTTTATCTACAATGTTTTATTTCTTCAAAATGTAGTAAAATGTTTTAAAATGTTCCTTTTCAAAAATACTTTAAAAAAATCATTAGCCTATTCTCTTTAAAAACTTATAGTTTGTATTCTAAGCCTTTAAGATTCTATAGCTTAAAAAAAAAAAAAAAAGATTCTATAGCTAGCATAAGACTGTCACCAACTCACTGGCTACACACAAAAAAAGTAACCCTAATTAGATGCATCATATTTTAACAAAGCCCAGCTAATCTGTTTTTACTAATATGTTTATAAAAGGGCCGGCATGGTATCACCTCCACTGCTCAACCATTGAATATTGTGTCTGTATCTATTGTTTTACTGTCACACTATAGTGTGTACTACCATGTGCTCACAATCTCCCACTTAAGTGGCTCCAGATCAGTCCCTTGAAAAGAGTGATTGCCCTGAGCCACTGGGGCTTGGCACCCAGGTGACAATGGGCAACAGATGCTATGTATTTCCAGCTAGTATCTCCACTAACTACAATGCTTCGATACATGTTGAATACGGCAACTTATAATATAAATACCTTTTTGTTATGTTATACAAAAGGGAAATATACATCAAATCTTGTTTTTTAGGAATACTTGTGTCCTCACACAGACTACTGCCCAGAAACCTCAGCAGAAAACTTTTATCCATAATGAGCCACAGAATTCTGTGTACAGCAAAGGATCTCCTGAGTGAAAAGTCAGACTTATACAACCAGAATTTCATACTTTGGGAAAACTGGGTCAAAAAATATTAAAAATTTATCTTATAGAACATCTCTAATGTTACCAAAACTTATTTAAAAAATAAGGATGATGAGGTATTTAAGTAACTTTTCTTAGAAATAAACTTCTAATTTTAGAATAGTTACAGATTTACAGGAATACTGAGTTCCCCCTATTGTTAACATGTTACATTCGTGTGTTATACCTGCCACAAATAAGGAACAGTGTTGATATAGTATTAACTGATGTCCATACTTTATTCAGATTTCCTGAACTTTTACCTAAATATCCTTTTTCTGTTCCAGAATCCCATCCAGTATTTCACATTGAGTCATCCTGTCTCTTTAGGACCTTCTAGACTGGAACAGTTCTCCTCAGACTTGCCTAGTTTCAATTGACCTTGACAGATGTGAGGAACACCAGTCATTTTTTAAACTGCCTCTCATTTGGGGTTGTCTAATGTTTTTTCAGTGAACCTGGGGTTATGGGTTCTTGGGAGAAGCACCAGAGTGGTGAAGTGCCACTGTCATCAACTCATACTATCAATGTGATTTATCATTGTGGATGCTGACCTCAATCACCTGGCCGAGGTCAGGTTTCTCAGTAAGTGACTCTTTCCACACTGTACACTTTGGAAGGAAGTGACCATTTGAAGCCCCTACTTTACGAGGGGAGTATTAGCCGCCTCTCTGAGGACAGAGTATCTATAAAAATTATTTGGAATTCTCCTGCACTAGTGATTTGTCTCTTCTCACCCACTTATTTATTTGTTCAATCATTATTTCTATCAATATGGGCACATGAATAATTACTTACACTGTTGGACAAAATTCAGTTCATTGCTAACATCATTCCAGCTTTGACCACTTTCCATTAGTCCCTCTGTCCTGTTGACTCTGTCATTTTGTTGGTTTAGTACTTTGTTACTTGCTGGTGCTACAAGATGCACAGGATTATCATTTCTTTAGTTTTTAACTAGTGAATGATATTAGAAACCTAGACTTGGGGGCTAGTGAACTACTTTCATTTTGTAGTGATTTTTTTTTCTGATTTCAAAAATTGATCATGTGGTGGTGCATGCCTATAATCCCAGGTGCTTATGAGGCTGAGA